TGCGCGCGGCGCGCCTAGTAGCCTAAATTTGAAATAACCATGGAAATAACGAACTTGAGCGTGCAAAAGGGTACGATAGGCTGTGAGTTCATTGTGCAAAAACAATTTGTGCTATTACTTTCCCCTTATTCTATCCTATAGTAATGCAATACTGTATATTATATAGTCTTCTGTTGAATACATTTGGTTCAGCTAATAAATTGCATTTAAAATATATTGATTCCTGTAATAATAATTATTTATTCATGTGACATTTATAAATCTGGGTGCGTTTTTGGTTGGAAATCAATGAAACATGGTACTGTATTACCTGGTCTCCCCTGTTTATTGTCACAGCTCATACAATAAAGCAAACACCCATGATAAACTATGCTTTTCTATCTAACGTTAGTAATTGCTGACTCTTTATTCCAACGCTGAGCGAAGAGAACTCTCTGCTCCTCGTCACGGTGCGTCTCAGGTGATTGTTATCACTCTGCCCAAGTAGCAGTGCTTCCCCTTCAGAAAATATAGTATTTATACGGTCAAAAGATGTCTGTGTCTCATATGGCCTTGATATTTGCACACTCTGTGACTATACAAACCACAACATGTAAATAGGAAAACGTTTGCGTTATTTTGTCACTCATTTGGATTAGTATGAAAGCTGCAACCATTCACATCCAGTCTTTGTGCTAAGCTAGGCTAGCGGTGGGTGCGTCAAACAGACTTATAGCACGCACGGAGATGAAAAAGGTATGTATGGACTTATCTAACTCTGGGGGGTAAGGTGAATAGGCTAAAGTCCCAAAAAGTCGGAGTGTTCCTTTAATTACACTGCGCAAATCGGATGAGGAAGGGTTGGCTCTCCAGTCTCCATAGAACTTAAAATATTCATTTTATTTTAGTTTTCGTGTTCGCATTTATAAGGAAAAAACAATGTTACAGACGCGACCGCTCTGAACTGGCACTAAAAGACTGCTTTAAAACTTTCACACAGTCTGTTGCCTTTAAGAAGTAAAAGCAGACAATACACTGTAATACAACTGTAATACAAGCCTCACTGAACATGTAACGAGTAAAATATTACTGAAAATTGATTAGTAATGCCTTACACTACTGCGTTACAGCAAAAACTAATATGTTACTGTAATCTATTACTTTTGCAATGCGTTACTCCCAACACTGTTGATTTGCTAAAATAGACTTTTCAGGGCTTGTCCCTTCTGCTTTAAAACATAAACTTGTGATGCCTTTACAGTAGAACACACCAATGACAGTTTTGTGACGGGTTCAGTCAATCTTGTCAGACGTCTATTTCAACAAAGAAAAGTTACATGAGGATGTGGAGTGTGTCAAAATAAAGGTCCCGTATATCGATATTTTATGAGTGGTATCGATGCATCGTATCGTTAGACGTTTGATCGATGCATCGATCCATATTGATGTACTGTTACACCCCTAGTTTTCGGCCCATCCCTAGTTACGTGTTACCCCGTCACATAACGACGCGATGCAGCACCAATCAGAATTGGACTAGCTGCACACATGCTTCACACACTGTCACACTGAAGGCATTCCTGAAAGTTTCGTCATATGACACAGCGTGAGTTCCCTCGAGAGGGAACAGTACATTTATACCCTTTCCAAGCTCATCTTTTAATTGACAACTCACAGGCACCCTGATGTGGTAGGAAATTATATAAAAAAAAAAAACTAAAATTGCAGAGCTGTGTGTGAAGGAATCAAGAATTGTGTCATTGTGCATGCAAGCCTCAACATAAAAAATAAAATAAAATAAAATGAAAGAAATCAAGGAAGACAGGGACACAGCAAACCATCGGTGCAATCCACTCCACTGCCATGTTGGATGATATCTCATTACCTAATAAACAGCATCTATTGCAGGTAGCCGGATTTATAGTGTCGCCCAGGCAGAGCGAATCACACCATATATCACAGCACAGTGAAGTTCTCTCAAGTTATGGCCACAGACAGGGAGTCTAAACTGCCCTGTCATCAAAATTATGGAAAGTGAGACTAACAACACCTGTGACAGCAGAGTATAGACCATCTATCACTTCTGCAATACAGATTTACTGCTGACATGTGAAGCCCAGGGACAAATCCATCACAAACCCCTACATGAGCATGCAAACACACAGGCCATGCTTAGGGAGGAATATGGTGGACACATATGTTCACCATCCACTATGAGATGTCACACACACACACACACACACACACTGACTGCTTGGAGGGAAACCAACATCTATCTGAGTTATGATTTCATTTTCACAGCAACAAAGTTTTACGGCATTGAGCTGGAGGTGGTTTAGGAGATGCGCGCACACACACACACACACAAGCACACAAATACACGCTCACCGAGTGTCGAGTAGTAGAAGGGGAAGAGGGTGAGGTCGCTGGAGAACTCAGGAAGTGCGTAGAGTCCTCCAGGCAAAGAATTCCACATTATCCTGCTCCTGGTCATGTGCGTCCTTATCCGGTCATGGATAATCTGAAAAAACAAAAAAAACAAACAACACATACATTACTATTACAATTTTTTTACAGTCGGTACGACACATTTCTCAATACTTAGGTCATTTTTTTCCAAACTCTTCACACAGTTTTCCTAACCAACTTTCAGCTCAGCACAACAGTTATTTTCACATTCAAAATTCACTAAAACTACAAATTCGAGCAAGAACGGGAGAGTGTTGCTGCTCGAATGTCCTAAGAGAGTTATTTATATCCTGAGTAAGTTATAAGGTGGACATGATTTCACCTAGATCAACTACTTTGTTGATCCTCGAACCAATCAGATTTGAGGGACAAGTTAGTAGGGGTGGGGTTAGGTCTAGGAACATTTTTTTCAGAGAGGATTTTTGTTCCATGATTAACAAAATATATTGAATTTAGCAACATCTTTCTTCGCACAGTCGGATTGGTGCTTTGGAATTAGTTTGGATTTTCAAGATTTGCTGCTCAGTTGCAATGTAGAGTCTTGAAGATCTCAACTCTCTGAAGTAGCGTGTGTATGACACGCCAATTCGCATTTCCATTTTTGGCGTGCTATCAACACGCATAAATGTTTATGAACGCCGTTGACTTAACGTTAGTACTGCATATATAAATATATGACTTACCTCAACCTAAACCTAACCGTCACTGGGGTTAATGGCACTTATGACTGTTCCCCCCATCCTAGGAAAGAAAAACATAGCTCCCCAGATGTAGATGTACATTTTGCTTTGTTTTGGTCGGACATTTGACGGCGTGTATGGACACGTGGAATGACGCAGGCGTTAATGCCGTAGACATACACGCATACACGCGGATAGCTCAAAATGTGTCGAGATAACATGCCACTTGACTCGAAATTGCCGTGTATGTTTACGCAAAAGTCATGATGTCATGTTGGATATTTCCTTTTTTTCCATGTCAAAGGAAAAATGGACACCTACAAGAAATACTATTATGGTATGTCTACCTAAATACAACATTGTGTGTGTGTGTGTAGTTCTCTTACGAGAGGTTCTCTCGTATTGCGTAAGCTAGCTTACGCTACGGGAAAGATTCATCTTTGCTGAGAAGTTGAAGCCAAAAAATTATTCCATAATTTTGTAATCATTGTCAACGCAGTCTCTTCTGAGGCAGACCATGAGCGGGCTAGCTAGCGGCTCATTGGTTCGCTCAGAGAGAATGCACGAACCTATGGGAGAGCGGCGCTGAGTCCGCGGCCAATGAGCGGACGGCGCTCGCTCACTGCGTCACAGCCCGCCAAAAGGGGCGTGGCTACAGTGTATAAAGGTCGCTCTCCCAGCTCGTTCGTTGATTCTTTTTCATTCAGCGAGCTACACGCATCCGCTGTCCTGGGAAGAAGCCGCCGTCGTTGAGAAGGCACCGTCTAGCGAGCTCCGGAGTCTGAGGAAGCCGGCCGTCTGCCACCTTCAGCCGCCCAGCAAGCTAGCGCCATCCGACGCGTATCCTTTTATATTCCATTCTAAAAGAGCACGAGCGTCTTTTTAAAGATGCCTCGTAATTCCTGCGGCTCATGCCGCTCTCCGCTCGAGGATGGAGACCGCCACCCCATCTGCGCTCTCTGTCTCGGAGTGGAGCACGCAGAACTCGCCCTCGCCAACGGAGGATGCGACCACTGCGAGGACCTGCCGCTGTCAACCCTGCGGGCTTGACTACAGGCGGTCAAAACCGCTCCAGCGCCGCCTCTCACTTCGCCGCGGAAGAAAAAACGCCGCTCCCAGAGGCCGCCGGAGCCCCCTGCGGATCCATGTGGGCCGCCGCCGCCGCCCACCGACCGCTCTCCCTCTCCGCCCCTGCCGGACTTACAGTTGCCGCCGAGTGGCCGCTCTGTCGCCTCCAATGACACCGCGGATGAGAAGGACTCTTGTTCGCTGCACGCTTCGGACAGCGAGGATTGGTCGTCGATCGGCTCATCGACGAGAGAGTCTGCGGGGACCCGCGCCGGCATCGAAGAGGAACTAACGCGCCTCCTTTCACAGGCCGTTAGCCGCCTGGGTCTCGAGTGGTCTCCTCCCCCTGAGCAACCACCGAACCGCATGGATGGGAAGTTCCTGCACCGGCATCCGGCCCCCGCCTGCAGCCGGGCTGCACCTTTCCTGCCTGAGCTTCACAGCGAGCTCACGAAATCCTGGAATGCTCCTCTCTCGGCTCGTAATCGCTCTGATGTGTCCGCTTCGCTGCGCTCAGTGGACGGAGCCGCCGAGAAGGGTTATACTGCCATGCCGCCCATCGAGGACTCGGTCGCCGCTCATCTCTGCCCGCCCTCTGCTAGATGGCGGTCTTCTCATACGCTTCCCTCTAAAGCGTGCAGAGCGACCTCTAACTTCCATGCCCGCGCCTATTCCGCCGCCGGTCAGGCCGCTTCAGCGCTGCATTCGATGTCTGTCCTCCAGGTGCTCCAGAGCGACATCTTGTGTGAAATGGCGAGCAGCGGGAGGCAACCGCCCGTCCTTTCGGATCTGAGAAGCGCTACGGATCTTTCCCTTCGCGCCACTAAAGCCGCCGCACAAGCTCTGGGGAGATGCATGGCCGCCCTCTGTGTCGCCGAGAGACACTTATGGCTCACGCTTACCGACATGGGAGAGTCAGAACGCGCCGCGTTCCTCAACGCGCCTATTTCTCCTACCGGGCTCTTCGGATCTGCCGTCACGGGCATCGTTGACCGCTTCTCCGAGGTACAAAAAGCGACTCAGGCCATGAACTTGTTCCTGCCCCGCCGCTCGAGCTCTTCGACGGCCGCTCTCACGAGCCGCCTGCCAGAACCCCACAGCAGCGCCCGCCTCAGCAAGCTCAGCAGCCCCAGCGTAGACAGGGCGGCCGCCCTCGCTCTCGCTCAGACAGCCGCCGCAGACAGCCTCCTCCCCGGGGGCCTCGACCCAAGATCGCGCTGAAGCCCGATCAACAGAAGTCTGCCTAGCACAGCTGAGAAAAAGACGGCTTTCTCCCGCTGCGGCCGGACCGCCGTCAAAGCTTCGCCCACTGTTAGTCCCCGTCTCACCGCTGACTGCAGTAGTGTTTACCGCCACAAACAAGCCGGTTTCCCTGCCCGCTTGCGAGCGACTAAAAGCCGTTTTCACGGCTACCCAGAGAGTTCACAAAAAGAGCATAAAAGCCTCAAGTGTAAAAAATGTGCCCACAACCATGTGCTCACGTACACACACAAGCACTTTATGCCCAGGGTCTCTCACAGAGCCCATTCTCACGGAGCGTGCACTATCCGCTCCAGTAGCAGAGAACATAAGCACGCCCACGAGCCCGTGCGCGTGTCCCCCCTCTGCCCGCTCTGTCTCACGGCCCATAAACTCCTCTCTGAGTGTAAGTCCCGTTGCCTTCCACATTATAAGCGTGCCCACACCCAGTGTCCAGCCCGCTATGTGCAGCAATCAGGGCAAAATCGCCATTCAACCACTAGCCGCATGCTACGAAGCGTGGGAAGCCATCCCCGGCATCTCCCCGTGGGTTTTAAGCATAATAAAGAATGGGTATCGATTACAGTTTCGTCGCCGCCCGCCACGCTCGCGCGTGCGGCTCGAATCCACTGTCAGCCCGGCTGCTATGAACACGCTTTGCTTAGAAATAGCCAAGCTACTGCAGAAGGGCGCTATAGAGAGAGTCCCGCCATCTATGACCGAGTCGGGGTTTTACGGCCGTTATTTTCTGGTTCCCAAGAAAGACGGCGGCCTCAGGCCGATCTTAGATCTCAGGGCTTTGAACAAAGCGCTCATGAAGAGACCGTTCAAAATGCTCACAGTCAGGAAACTCCTCGCGCACGTCCGCCAGGGGGACTGGTTCATCTCTCTAGACCTGAAAGACGCCTATTTTCAGATCCAGATAAACCCTCATCACAGGCCATTCCTACGTTTCGCCTTCGAGGGCCAAGTTTACCAGTATGCCGTTCTCCCGTTCGGCCTATCCTTAGCACCCCGTACGTTCACGAAGTGCATGGATACAGCGCTCGCCCCCCTGCGAAGTCAGGGGCTGCGCATACTGAATTATCTGGACGACTGGCTGATTCTAGCAGATTCCCAGACGGAGCTGCTGTCGCACCGCACAGTTCTCCTCAACCATCTGGAAGCGCTGGGACTCTCTGTCAACTGGACAAAGAGCTCTCTCCAGCCCAGTCAAACTATTTCGTTCCTTGGAATAGATTTGAACTCTATCACTATGACGGCTCGCTTATCCACACAGCGCGCGCGCCGTGTTCAGCGCCTAGCCGCCTCGTTTCAGATGGGTACCCATACATCCCTGAAATCGCTTCAGAGGATGCTGGGTCATATGGCTTCAGCCTCCGCTGTGCTACAGCTGGGTCTTCTGCACATGCGCCCCCTTCAACTCTGGTTAAAGAGCCGCGTATCCCACCACGAGTGGACGACGGGCCGCCAGATGATCAGGATTACTCAGACATGTATCACTGCACTGCAGCCATGGGCAGTAAGCGAGTGGTTTCAGAGGGGCGTTACCATGGGAACCTTTTCTCCCGCCGGAAAGTTATCTCGACAGACGCATCCAACTCGGGTTGGGGAGCGGTTTGCGAGGGCTCACCGGCCGCCGGCCAGTGGTCGAGCCACGAGAGTTCCCACACATAAACTGTCTGGAAATGATCGCGGTCGAGAACGCGCTGCTGTGTTTCTTCCCGCGCATAAACGGTCACCACGTCCTGATTCGCTCCGACAATATGGCCGTGGTATCATACATCAACCGTCAGGGCGGCGTCAGATCCAAGAATCTCTTTCATCTGACACGCCGCATCCTATTGTGGTCCCAGAGTCACCTGCTCTCGCTCAGAGCGACGCACGTGCCGGGCCATCTGAACGACGGTCCAGACAGGCTGTCCAGGAACCTGGTCTCCCCCGGAGAATGGTCCCTGCACTCTCAAACAGTCCATACGCTGTGGCGCCTATTCGGCAGAGCGGAGATAGATCTTTTCGCGTCAGAAGAGAACGCTCACTGCCCAATATTCTTTTCAAAGAGCGA